AAGGAACTTCTTTTGTGGTTGATACTTATTTTGTAGGTAAAAAAGTAACATAGTTAAAAATGGCTATTAGCTTGTAAGATTTAAGAAAAATAATCTGTATTAAATTGGTACATACACTTGCAATTTGTTCTGCAAAAAGAACAGCAGAACATTTTGCAATAGCTGGCATATACAATAGTGGGTAAGTTTTATATCTATATTGATCCTTTGTGGTATCTTGTAAAAGAAGCCTGTAAATTATTAATGTCTACAGCAAATTAGATATTAGAAAAAACTTTTACTGAAATCCATTTTAAGGGCACCAGAATTGGAATGTCAGCTGGCTTAGCTATAGAGACTTCTAATAATCGTTTGGTTGCTAATAATACTTCACTCATGATGTAAAAACTACTTTCAGCCACTGAATATAAAAGGACTGATGCAAAGTAAGTTTGGATTCCAGGCCTCAAAATGAGCCTTAATGGGAGATCTCTTTGCTCCAGAAGTGCTACCCTGCTCATGTAGTTTCAGGGCAGGAAAGACACCCACGTGAATATTAAATAACCAATCCTAAAGGCTTGGGACTAGCACACTTCACACCAAATAATATTTTACCACATGTAGCATATCCTGAATTGAGGCTGTGCTGTAAAGCAGTTTAGCAAATACTATGATCCAGATGTACAATTTACAGGGAGATTGGAATCAAGCCTTAAATGGGTTTTAAGAGATTAGGGTAGCACATGCAGGGTAATTCTGAGGCAATAACAAATCAGCGAAGATGCAATTGGGAAAGGTTTTCAAAAGTGGTTAGGGATTTTCAGTATTTGGGTATTCATCCTGAAGCTACTAAAGGATACTCATTTCAAGAGGCAGATGCTTGCTCCCTTTCAGGACCAGGCCTTTTTCAGCTGGACACTGTAAAACAGTATGGCCAAGTCACCAGTTTTCTTGGACTCCTTAAATTAGCAATGCAGAAATTAAAACAACTTTGTCAAGTGATTATCTGAATAATTATAAATTTGTAAGCATTTTGTTTATAGGAAACAAATACAAGAAGGAGTAATATTATTTGGATACACTGGTAATTATTCTTCTGTTCAGATAACATGGGATATTTGTTTTAGAAAGAGATACTGATGGCTATAGGCTAAGAATAAGCATCTGTTACAGTCTTACACTTTGGACTAGGAGATTGCTACACAAACAACTGGAATCTAGATATATTTTTCTTTTCAGTTTTTGTACACTCCTAGGCCATCATGCTACACACTGTGCTGCTTATGGRTACCCTTATGATGTTTTCTTAGGTTAGGGTCATTCCTGCACAGGAATTGAAATTAGTTAGCTGGTACAACTGTTGTAGCACAAGAGCTCCGTGCCAACAAGTTGTCCAAATATTTACGTACCTTTACAAGCAGATTTTACAGCTGACACTGATCTGCATGCTGCCACAGCTACATGACTTCCAGAAGCTGACTTAGTTCATTTATATCTAGCTCTAGTTTCTCTTCAAAACACTAGACCTAACTAGAATGAGACAGTTCTACAAAGCATATGGCTTGAGTTACTAGCATGTTTGTTTTTTATTTTCTCTTGCATAGGGGATGTTGGTGGATCCGCCAAACAATATCAACAATGGTTAAAAAAAAAGCTTSCATGTAAAGCACAATTACCCCAAGACATCTGTGAAGGGATTTATGCTACAGTATGTAAAACTAGCTGGATTTAAAAGTATTTCTCAAATTGCCTTAACACCACTAACTTCTTGGGAAATCTCAATGCATTCCAAGTTTTTAATTTGGGTTATACAGAGACTTTTTGAATTTAGAGTCTGCAAGTAAAACCCATATTGTTTCTTTTGACCTTCTCATTATATATTGTTTCAGATCTAGCTCGGCATTTCCTTCTGCTTTAAAATACTACACATTCTGTTACTACAATTACCACTGTGCTGTTGAGCAGGTTAAACAAATTACAGGCTGAAAAACAGAGTTCAGCTTTAGACTGTTTGATTTCAGTTTACTACCTTGTACCAAATGCAAATACAGGTGTATCGACTCAGTTTCCATTGCAGTGCAGCATATCCAGAAACATCTGTAAACAGCATGACCAATAAAATGCATTTTAATAATTACAGTACAAACCCAACCATTTCTCAGTTGCCCACAGATTCTCATATTTAAACTATTTGGGGCATGATAAACCCTGTAGCACCTTCACAAATAATCCATGCTTGTGCTCTTGGATAATCTCAGCAAGTTACTCAAGTAATTACAGCTGGCTGGTGATTTTCACTGTTTTTAGTATTGTGCCCTTATCTTAAATCACAGAAGAGGCAAATTGCCTGCTCTTTGCCAGYCACAGCATTCCTTTGCAGAAGCACTGAACTTGGGGCTAGAATGCCTACAAATAGCTCCTTTAAAACACCTGTAGCACATTCACACAGAAGACACTTTACAAGAACAGGTCTCACAGCTCAGGCTGATGTTTGAGGTATATTATCTATCAATGCTGATAAATACTTTCTTATGTAGCACCAGGATTTTGCTAAATTTTAAACATGTGGTACTCTGTTAGGGGAGGAATTGTTAAAATYGACTAAAATGAGGTGACCTAGTTCCTGTTATTTGAAATAGATTTCAATATAGTACTGTAGGATTGTTTGCACTGAGAATTCCATCCAGTGCACAGCAGTCGCTTGAGAAACACTTGAAACTTACTAATTTCTGTTCAGACAAGGGCTCTAACAGGCATTACAGACTCAGCATGGTTTTAAAGCAATTAAAAGATATATTTGCTCTTGTTCCAAGAGCACACCACAGAGATATCAGTGTCTTACCCCAAATGTTTTGTTTTAGCTTTTCACAAACCATAAGCAGCCAAAATACACATGATTCCAGTGGGTTTTATTCCATGTTTCCTATATAAACTAAATGGCTTTCTTACAAATGTAAGAAATAAGAGAAGCCACGGTAAATCCCCTTCTGGAAAAGTTTACCTCTCATTTCTGACAAATGACTATTTTGGATTTTCAGTCATCACGTGAGATACTTAGATGTATTAAAATAGTCAAATAAGCGGTTAACTTATTAATAAGTATAATAGTGGTTTATATAACTATATAATTAGATATCTGATCCAACTGACTCACAGTAAGTATAGCAGCAATGCTCTGAAGGAAAATCACAATGCAGAATATTTATCTGAAGAGAGAGTAGAATTATGCTAAGGGTTGGGACCTCTGAGAACTACAGATGTAATATACTTTGGAAAAGAGATTAAAAGACAGTAGTCAATGCAACCTGATGACTTCCTCACATGTACGCACAAAAGAAATGGTCTTCAGAAACAACTCCATCAACTGCACTAAGAGAGTTTGTGGAAGACATGAGGTAGTATAATCCAGAATTTAAACAAGGAAAGGAAGTCTTCCTAATCCTTTGTATTACTTTAATACATCATTTGGTTAAATTGGATCATCTTTACCAACTGCTGTCTCCTAAAAATCGCAAATGAGCATAAATACTAATACTGATCTGTCTTCCATTATGCTCTGTTTAAGGGGATTCACTGTTCAAATTACTTTAGCAGTTGGTTGCTAGAATCATAGGAAAAAAATTCAGTGGGCACAAAATAATCACAGAGAAAACAGGTACACAAGTTCAAAGGCTTCCTCCCCCCATAGATGAAAGCAGATCTTGATTTTATCTTGCAAGTAAAAGTCAAAGATCTATTATTAGCATGATTTTGTTTCTATTTAATGTACCTGCAATACAGTTAACTTGAAAATAAAACTCCCCATAACAACATCTATCTCTATCTAGCAAACATGGATTTAAAAAACAGAGTGAGGGAGTGGTAGGTGGCTAAGTAAATACACAGCAACCCCAGTGTCATGTCATGTAACACACTGTAATAGAGCTTCAAAGATTTGGACAGATTTCCTTATATTATGGGCTTAGGGTGTAGCTGCATGGAAAATTGTGCATGTTGTCTTTTGGTATTTGCTTTGCAGTCCTTTGTAATCTTGGGCTGTATTTATAGTTGGACCTGGAAAGAAATCAAGATTAGAGAGACTTGTTTGCACATCCCTTGTAATCACTCTCCCCATCTCTCCTTAAAATAAAAAGGGTGGTTGCCTGTTTGGCTGCCCCAGGAGCCCAAGCAAGAAGGGTGCAAGCCAGAAACCAAAYTGAAACCTCTGCAGGAAGGCAGAAGTCTTGGGGCCAGGAGCCACAGATGAAGCAGTTCATTCTAGGGAAGGGACAGGAGACTATTTTGTTTTGCACAGGGAGACTTAGCYAAGGACAGGGGGGCAAAGGGGCCATTTTCCTCGGCTGTGCATCACCTACCCGTGGCAGTCGAGGGCATCCTCAGGCGCTCGGGTTGCACTCGCTCTCACTGCRGCGGCGCAGAGCTCCATCCGCACGGCCCGGAGGAACGGCGCGTGCCCCCGGCCGCCGCCGCCGCCCTGCCGGGTCTGCCCCACCGTCGTGTCGTGTCGCGTCGCGTCGCTGCCACCAGCGTAGGGTAGGGTAGGCCGGGCCRGGCCGAGCCGGGCCCTAACGACCACTCCTGTGCGCGCAGCGCTCCCTAYTGCCCCCTAAGGGCCGCCACGTGCCCAACGGCCGCTCTTAACGGCTGCGCCCAACGGCCGCACTTAACGGCCACGCCCAACGGCACGTTCTTAACGGCCGYGGCCGAGAGCTCTGCCTAACGGTGCTTTGTGCCTGATAGTTGCTCTGTGTTGCTTGTTCTTCCCTGACGTTATGAATCATCTCCCTAGGGTAGGGAGCTGAACTAAGTGCTGGTAGCTCCCGGCAGAGCAGGGATCCCTGGAAGTGGGAGGCTGTTTGGGTTAGTGCTGCAGGCGGCTCGAGCCTATGGAGGTGCTGGCACCATGGCATTTGGAGCCTCCCTGTGCCTGAGAGGAGGCTCTCTGCCTTAGCGAAGCTGTGGCTCCTCTGCAGGAGGGGATCCTGCAGCCCCAGAGCTTGTAAGAGCAGCTGATATGTGGCTTTAAAAATACATACATTTGCTAAAGTCTTAAGTAAGTGAGTAGACCTTATCAATGGCAAACCTGTCCAGATGATCTGACAGGTCATGGCTGCATTTCATTTAAATTTTATTCCTTTATATTTTGATTGAATTCTTGTTCTTCTATTTTGCTTCCTTCAAGGCTTAGGCCTATTCATTTGCTTTTCTAAATGGACTGCAATCAGAAATGATTTCATGTGCTGTGGAGTCCAGTTCCTTCTGATTTCATGTGCTGTGGAGTCCAGTTCCTTCTTACAGCAGTTCAAGAGGTTGTATAATTCTGTGTTTAAGTCAATCAAGCTTTATTATAAAACCATCTTTCTTTTTTGACCTTCATACTTCTACTGGGAAGTAGCTATGCTTCTGTCTCAGACAATAACAACAGTTTTCTAATTTCTATGCTATATTTTGTGACAATCTTATATTTTTTGTGATTTTATGTGAATGCTTTCTACTTTAATATGTTTATTTTCATGATGTTTTTTCTTCTAATTTTCCTTTATCTCTAGTATATAGTGCTAGTATACAATACTTATTTTACTTTTTACCCTCACTATGCTAACTAAATAAACCCTTCTAATATTGTCTGTCAGCATAATCTGTTATGCTACATTATCCTGGAAAAAGTCACAYTAGCGTCTTATGTAGTAAGTTGTATTATGTAATATTGCTTTTTTAGGAAAAAATCTTTCTTTTTCATACTTTCACCTACTTGGTTGTGCATAGTTTTGCTGCAATCAATTAATATATTAGTATTTTTACCTAAATGTACCTTCTAAACCATGAACTGCTAATGGATAACAGAAAATTCTTCTTGCTAATTCTAAAATGTGCAACTTTGTGCTTTGTACATTTTAATCTTATCTGCTTTCTGTTACTGCAGTTCAGTGACCTTTATGATACTCTAAGCGTTTTCTAGTTTGACACTGCCTCTGAACTTTATAATCAGAAAATGTCATAAGCACACACTTAGGCTGTGCCAAAATTAGCTATGATACTCYCTCCTATTTTTAGTCTCCAAACTAATCCTGGGGAGTTCTGTTGGTAACCTTCCTCCAAACATACACTTTCCCTTTCAACAGAACTGGTTGAATATTTGTATCATTTGCCCAGGAGCCAAGATAGTTAAGTGTCTCCTACCCCTAGAAGATTATGTTTTTTTTTCTTGTTTTGTGATTTAATTCTGATTCCAGTTCACTTCCTACCTTTAAATTCTTACATTCTCTCACATTATATACTTTTCTCCATTATGTGTTAATTCTTGGTGGCTAATATGTGAAATATTTTAATAAGCCCTTTAATAGGCTTTTGGGGCTTATATTAACTAGGAAAAAGATTTTTTTTTTCTGTTTTAACCTTATTGAAAAAAAGGATTATAAGGTTATGCTTTACTTGTATATGGTGGGGGGGGAAAGGGAGGAGTAGAGAGAGCAGTCGGGTTCTCAGAAAATGTTGTCTTTGCTGCTTGTGTTGTCTTGGCTTTCATAGATATTTTCTAAATAGCACGTTAGTTTTCCTGTATCTACACCAAAATAGGAAAGATGCATGATGACTCCTCAGCTGCTTTACCTACAACATGAACAACCTAAGCCCTGAACTCCTTTCATGTCTTGTAGCTGCCAAGCAGCTTTCATGTCTTGTAGCTGCCAAGCAAGCTTTCTCTTATTTCTTTCTCTTTTTCTTTGTCTCTTCATTTTCTCCCTCCTCATGTTGCTCACAGCTGGGTTGTATTTGTTGTTTCCTTGCTTTCTTTTTTGTTTTAGCTAAACTCTTCTGTGAGCTGCTGCTGATCACTAAAATAGCAAAAGTATATCCAGTATGTGTTATTCTCTGCCATTCTTCTTGCAGTAGCATGTATCCAATCATCCAAGAAGTTCACCTTAACTTTATTAAATGAGTTACTGCATTGTATTTTGGGGGGAAGCTTAATTGCAAAATGAGATTAGAAAGGTTGGAGAAGTCATGTACCTTACGGCATAAAAGCAGTCATTTAAACTTTTGTTAAAAGTAGACATCCTACCAGTGGTGATGACTTTTTAAAATTACTTTGGAAATACTACACCTTATTTAAAACTCATTTGTTCTTTTTGAAAGTAGCTCAGAAAACAAATGCTCTGTTAAATCAGTCATGGTAGAAAGGTTACCTGCATTGAGTAGTAATCAGGACATAAATAGGACTCCTCTGGGATGGMTGCCTAATGGTCACCAACTCGCAGAAAGCAGAACTAAATTAGGGAATAAAAGAAGAAGCCTTGCTATAACCTGTATCTCATTTAAGTTAATCACTGAAATGCCTCTTTTTAATTTGTCTTTATCATTAGAAATCACTGTGATTTACCTTCACAATTACTAATAGATGTAGTCTGAATCATTCTTTCCTGTTTTATATTACATTCTTAAAATTTGTTAGTTTTTCAATTGTTTATATTATTTTGGTCTTCTCAGATATAATTTCTAATCAACATTTGATGGATTTTTTCCCCCCTAAACTACACTGGCACAAGAAAGATGCATCATTTGCACAGTATTTTGCTTGACAGCTTTCTGGAGAATAGTGACAGAATTTGAGAGAGAAAGAGAAACACAAGAGAACCCAAAGATCAGTGTATTCCCATGAACACTGATACAAATGCAACTGCATAACAGGTTCCTGAAACTGATATTTTCCATATTGGCAGAGCACTGTAGAACTGAAGTTTCTAAGACCTCTGAAATTATCTCCCTCATAGCCTCTGCTTTGTGAAACATAAAGCCTTGGTTTAGATTTTCAGAGCTTTCATTGTAAACTTACTTTTAAAAATACTTTTCTAAGGTGGAACATTCCTTGTGCTGTAGAAAGGAGTCATGAGAACTGCAGGGATTCTGAGAGAATCTGATCTCCTRTTCGCTGTGTAAGGAACTGGATGTTTCTTTGTAATATTAACTGGAAGTGAAACTGCTTAGCATTCCATGTGATGACCTCAGAGAAATGGGCTTTCTGCTTAGTAAAGAAAGCACTTCAAGCTAGAACTTCAGTAAATTATAGATTTAAAGTTTATTCCTGGAAATACAGAAGACTTTCATATTTCCCATTAGGCTCTGACTTTCCATAATTGTATGTCTTGCTCTATAACACTTGTACAACAAGGTCTTGCTTACTATTACTTTGGAGTTGTTTCTTCTGCAGCTGGAGTACCTGAAAAGAAAGATCACCCTGTGTGATGTCTTTCTTTAACAGTGTTATTTGGAGAGATGCAGTAGCTTATTCACCTTTGAAAACAAGTGTTTCTTGATTGTTGTTTTGGTTAGTGTCCTCTTTAAATGTAAGTAGATGGTTATTGGTAACATGTCTGCTATTTCAGATGTACCTAGTACTGTGACAGAAGGCCTCATCTTTTCAAGGCGTCGCAAGAGCTACAAGCCAGTGCAAGGACTGCATTTTACTTCCAAGTTTTTTTTAATGACATTGAATCAAAGGCTTCAAAGTGCTATGAAGGGAGAGATTATAGTTTCAGAAGAGAAGACAATCTCAATATAACAAAAGTTCCCATAAATGCTACTTCTCTAATGGAGCCTTTCAAGCTAGTGGGCTGAAAATTGTAGCCTTAGGTAGAAGGGGTGAGGCTTAAGTGGGGAGCAAAGGAAATAATCCAAGTTTGCAAAAATATATAGTCTAGCAAGTATRGATTGTGGAGAAGTGTATGCAAGTTACTTTGAGGATTACTGATCCCATGTTTTCATTCACTTGGAAGGAATTTCACTGTCTCGGAACAAGATGGTTGCTTTTTTTCTCCACTTTAGAGCTGAGTGGGAAGCTGTGGAAAACCACCTGATAAATCTCACCTACACTGCATTGTTTGAAATGCCAGGCAAGGTGAGAGTCTGGGAGGAAAGGCTTGTTTGTGTTCTATGTGGTGAACAAATTGTTCTTCTATATGGATGAATTGGCAGCCAACACTGCCTTAGGCTTTTTGTGACAGTATCTGCACAGAAGAATCAACTGCTTTTGTATTTTGGTTTAAAATAAGCATTTGGCTTCTGTACCTGCAGTTCCTCTACATATACAATAGAGCACAGGCTGTTTAAAAGACAAGCAAGTGGCTCATCTTAGGTTTCTCTTCATTTTTCTCTTTTCATTTTTTTATTTTTGGCAGGTTGGCCCATCTCTGTTTAGTGACAACTCTGGGAAATCTCCCAAGAAGCCTAGCACATTCTTGGAGAAACACTATGCTCTGAGCTAAAAAGGACATGTTAAACTGCACTTTTACTATTTCAAATTMCATATGAAGATTATGGAGGATATAATCATATGTCAGATCAGAATAATGTTTTATTGCATGCTGTATAAATATACACTGTCTGGTTTTTGATGTGGTTCCCACAGTAGTTGCTCTAGGTTTTCTTCTGGTGCAATTTTCGCTGAGTGCCATTAACTGTTCTGCAAAACCCCTCATCTTAAGCTCCACAAAAACCCAAATGGAAAAAGTAGTGAAAGAACAAGCCAGTAGCTAAAAATGGTCTCAAATAAGAAATTTTGCTGCCAGATCTTGACTCTATACACTGGGAAATGGCCACTATGTTTCTGCTGAAAAAAAATGCTTATGTGTGGACAAATACTTCTGGCATAAATAGATGAAGATTTCTCCAGGCCCCTGAGGCAAGGTGTATGTATGTGTCAGCAACAAATGAGTAATTTTATGGTACAGGTCAGTTTAACCGGATCAAAGGTACTAAACAAAGGCAGACTCAGCAGGTAGCCACCTGTTCATGTTCAGCTTTGAAACTGKGTTTTGGATTGTCAAGTAAATTTACCAAACCAAGGGACTAAAATAAGGTGAGTTGAAACAAAGTCTAATGAGTTTACCATGAAAATACTAACTTGAAGTATAAAGAAACTTAAGCAGGATGAGATCATAAGCAATAACAAAAGCAAGAAAACTYCTTTAAGGACCCTTCCCCTGATGATTACAGATCACCTTTTTGTGATATAATTTGACAAGGTATCTTATCTCTTGTTCTCCAGTAAGGAGCTTTTGAAATACAGATAAAATATAGTCTTTTGGTGATATTCCACCTCGTTCTAATGACAAGGCTACATTCTCCAGCCTGCTCCACTGCCAAACTCCTATGAAGAGTTTTGCCTCAAAGTATTTGATTGTTATTTAGATAAGAGGCCAGAACTCTGTTTAGAAGCATCTTGGCTTAGAATCTAATCAGCTAAAGTCTCATGCTTTTACACCTCTGTTCTGTAGATTGAATTCAGATAGTACTTGATTAATTGATTGCAGATTATGTTGATTGTGTTAAAATGAGCTAAACTAACCCCAAATGTAGCTGTTTTTGTAGTTGAAGCAACCACTTTGATTATCCTGAAATCATCAGTGAATGTTAACCCTGTGTTAACACACAGCACAAATGTTGCTGTGATGCTTGTCTCTAAAATTTGCTTGGGAAGAACTAATTTCCTAAGAGGATCTCTCTGTGTATGAATGGCTTTACATTTCAAGTAACTTCATTTTAATGATTTGCTTCCTTTTCAGACTAATGGAAGACTGGAATGGAAGGCTTGGTATAAGGGAAATTTGGATGTGAATATGGTGATTATTCTGTCAGAGGTAAGCTCACTTTACAAATTCAAAGCTTGCTTTGTTTTTTTTAGTTGTTTTAATTTTTATTCTGCTTCTTTAGACAAACAACTTTTATAAGGCTTTAGAATTGCCAAATAAACTGTCATCACATCTGCCTTGACCAAATGAAACAATGCAGTAAGTGAGTTAATACTGCCACAGACTGGGTCAGWCTGCCCTTTTGGACACTTAACAAATTGTGCTGTTTGCTCCCATCCAGTGGGCTTGGTATGCCTTAAGCTTCTGGAGTTTGAAAAGGCTTCAGGTGCTTCATCTGTGTTTGTACTGTGAATTGCGGTGTTTAGTTAGTGCTCCATTCTGAAACTGAACATACAGTTCAACAAACTGACTCCTGTGCCTGTTGTGGATTCTTCAGGTTTTTTTAAGGACACTTATTAAAGCCATTTGCAAGGACTTTTTGAGCTCTGCTAATTTTTGCAAAAATTTATGAAGCGTCATTAGAGTATCTAATCTTAGGGCAATGAACTGAAAATGTCCTGTTTCCTAGAAAGTTCTGAGTGAGAGAGGGGGAAAAAAGTTTGGGGAAATAATTTTTCTTGCAGACAGGTACTAACCTGTATTCTTTTGCRAAATGTAAGCTGCTATTCTGGGCCTGATCTCTGATGATGCTTATTTTAATCAAAAGGCAATGTTTGCATTGTATACTGCAACAGCTCACTGCTGTCCTCAACCTACTAGTCCTTGTCCCAGTATTGATTTGGTGTTTGATAAGAAGTTAACTTTTTTTATTTCCTGCTGTGGTGGGTGCTGAATCTGTGCAAACCTAGATATGTTATCTGCTATTGTAGGATGGAATGTGAGATTGTGGCAGAAWTCCCATCTCGTCTGCTTTGTCAAATAGAAGAGTTTGCCACTGAGATTACTCGGTCAGTACAGAGATTACACAGAGATTACTCAGATGATAATAGCAATCCCAAACCTTTTTTTCATGGGTGACTCTTGATATCTCTTGTTTAGCTTTTTATTTAGAGACTTCCACTGAGTCAAAAGATTAAATCAATGAGATTGAAAAGCTCCAGGGCTTGAAAGCTCAACTTTAGAAATAGTTTTCAAAAAAAGCTCTCCATCCCACCCTATACAGAGTTTATAGAAATGAGAGGACTTCTGGGTCAGAGAGGGGCCTAGGTGACTAAACAAATGCGGCCTCCCCAAATATGTGCCCACTGCAAAGAACAGTAAAACTAGCATTTATTTTGCTCTTCCCTTTCAGTTCTGCTGTGTCTATCAGCATAGCTAAGAGTATTGTTTTCAAATATCAAAGGGAATGAAAGGAAATAAACAATTACTCTAGCATTTAGAGATTGATCCTGTTAGCTACTGGGCTGAAAGCCTCTTAAAAAGGGCTAAAATCTTCAGCTCCTTTTGATTTGATTAAAAGCATTAATCATCTATTCCAATTTAAGTATGTGAGAGGTCTGGGTAGAAGCCTACAAGCCTTTCACAGGCTGTGATTTGTGTTGCTCTGACCAAAGCCATAGTAAAGTGAAGCTGAGAAGCACTTTGAGCGAAGTGCCACTTGGGAAGCAGGTACCTGTTAGATAACTAACCAACTGACTAGCTACTACTGTTTCCAGTTTTAACTGGAAGAGGGGCTGCAGAAAGTGACCAATCTGGGTGTGAAGTATTGCAGAAATGGCTTGCAAAAGCTGTGTCCATGGTCCCAGTTGACAGTGAATCCCACTGGAGGCTGAGGCAGTAATGCTGGCAAATAAAAATTCTCAAATATATTAGGTGTCTTGAAGAAAACCTTTATGTTAAAGTTATTTCAAGCTTACCCATCTGACAAATGTTTCCATAATTTTTTACCTTGAGGAAAAATATCTGTAGATTGATTAAATATTCATGATTAGAGAAGTGTTTAGCCTGCTGCTCACTTGAGCCACTGTGTTTTAACCCTTTATGAGATGAAATAGAAATGTGTTTTGAGTCTCTGYCAGCTTTACCCTTCAGTGTTCCTTACTGAATTTTTTTTATAATGAAATGGTAGTATATGCAGTCATGGTAGAATGTTCTTCATGTATATGAAGAACATCAAGTTGTGTATCTTGTATATCAAGTTCTTCACGTATATGAAATTGTAATACTCAAGATATATTTCTGATTCAAAGCATTTTACTCACATAAAGTAGATACAAAACAGTAAAAAGAGATTCATCATATTTTAGGGAATGTGAAGCAATYGCAGAAAAAGTCCCAAATTTTTAGTCAAGTACTCCAGTTAATTTCTGGAGACCTAGTTAAAGCACTCCATTTCCCAAGATTGGTAAGCAGTTTGTTTTAGAGACTTGGAGTATTGCTGTAAAACTTATGYCAAAAGGTTTGAACAACAAATAATGGAGGCATGATGTTATGAATGTCTCTTCTCCCAACAATGCATTTTCTGACTGTCTTGTTTTTTTTAGTGAGTAAACTATTCTTTCTAGAAGCCTTTAAGGTACATTTTTGCTGATTTATTGAGCTATCTTTCAAAATTTCATTCTGTGTTAACTCCCTAATATATCTCTTGGAACCCAACTGTATAGCAATTACAGCCTGTAAAACTTTCTTTACAGAATTGTTTTTCAATCTTTCATAATTATGGGAAACATTCTGTTTATGAATTAACATGAACTTCTTGCCAGTATCACTTAGAAAAAAATAATTAAAGCTTGAAAATTACATATTTTCCAAACTAAAGTTTTTGATAATATCTTTAGAAGAAATAATCTGAGGGGCAAATATCAGTACATTCTCACTAGAAGACACTTAGCGAGGCTGCTACAATTTTTTTTCCAAGGAAGTAGGTAAACTTGTGATACAGTCATCTTTTTCTGTCCAAAAATCTTTTCAAGAGGAGATAGAAATTTTGCTTCTGAACTGTGCTTAGCAAATGGATTTGCATATTGAGGGATAAATTATTAAAAAGCACTTTAATGGTTCACTTTCYATTTCTAATAAATCAAATGACTGAGCAAAAAAATACAAATATATTTGAAAACAGGTTTGCCTCATTAATGAAAATCTGTTTGTATTCTAAGGACCAAAACTCTTACAAAGTTAAATGACATAGATAGCAAAAGGGAAGTGCTAGAATACTTGTTCCTGCTGAGAAAGTCTGAGTTGCACAGACAAACTACTCTGCAAATCTGTGTGTACAAGATACTAGCTTTAGTTAAAAAACATTCAGTAATGGGAAGAACATCCTTTCAAGATTCTTGGTTTGGCAGAAACAGTTCTAGGGATGTTGCATCCTAAGACTGCTGACAAGTATSAAAATACTCCATGGTATCCTTTTCTGTATTAAAGTAGTCTTAGTTTACTTTGCTTCTCAGCTTGTCTCTCCTACTGGGCTCATAGCTAAGTGAAGCTGACCTGTCTTTGACTTTCGGGGAAGACCTGTTGCATCTCTCTTCTCCCACTTGGGCTTGCCTGACAGGAGCTGCAGCTGCTCACTCTTCTCCTAAGCTTAAGCTTCTTTAAGCTCTTTCCTGTCTTCCAGTATGTTATAGCACCCTTTTGTTCTGTGCCTGATCCCAGATATCCCATTAGGTCTATCTTACAGGATTGTCACAAGATATTTTTCCCTACATAATGTCATATTCAGAGATGTAGCCAAAAAAAGAAATATTTTTCTTCTGATCTTGAACAAAGATTTTTCAAAGGAAAATACCTTTTTAAATTACCCTTTAATTTTGATTCACTGGAGATCCTTCTGTCTAGAAGTTCTGAGGATCACTTTTCATGTTTCAMTACTAATGGTTCAAATAAAAAAAAACAATGTCCTTGTATCAGACTGRTATAATAGGATGAAATTTTAGTGTGCTTAAATTTAAAATGACAATTTTATATAGATGTCAGCAGTTGTTTAAGTGTGAAGAGTACACAGGAGGCCATTTTATTTTCAGAAACAGTGTTTAGCTTGCTTGGAAAAGTCATTCTTTTAATGACAAGCACAAAAACAATTCAAAGCAAAAGAGCAACAACTTACTCATTGAATGACCTCTAGTGGTCATCTGGGATTTCATGGTAGTGTAAATGCCCGTGCTTGGGAGGCTCTGGAGATGCATTTTTTTTTGGTAAAGTGTGACACAAGAATATCTTTTTTTTAAAGCTATTCCTCTGCACTTTTGCTCTATAGCTGGAAGGCTTTCTGAATGCTCCATTAAAATTACATTTTATTTCATTTAACAAGGGGAACATTCTATTAACTCTGTAGCAGTGCAAGTCAGGCTTAGTATCTCCACTGCCACTTGTACTTTTTCTTGGCAAGCCAATACCAAGGCTGCGGAAAATCCTCCCTCAGTCTACCTCTGCKGAACTTGGCCAGGAAGAGACTTTTGTTGGATAACAAAGCATTGATGTGCAGGCTGTCAACCTGTGAGACATTGGTACARTTGCTTATAATGTCATAATATTGCCTGGCAGCAGCTGCCAGCCACAATGTCACTGCTGGCCAGAACAGGTCACGGCTGGCCATGTCATCCTGAACAGTGGCAGCACATGGAGTGAGTGCATCCAACTAGTGAACAAACTCAGCAGGCAGCATACTGGCAACATAATTAGCAAGGGAGCTGTCTTTGTCATTACTGTGGATGTGAAAGATCCAAGTTGCGTKTTCAGCCATACTTCGGAAAGGAAATGCTATCCTCATCACCAAGAATCTTTATTCAGATTTCTGCTGATCTTTCTGTGGTTTCTTCAAACAGCTGGGCCTAATTATTCTTCTCTTGGGACATATGTGTCAGTCCACATATCAGTTTATTAAAAGCTTTTGCTAAAGAATGAATTTTCAGAAATGCCTCCTATACTAGGATCTTAACAAAATGAGTTAGACAAGACTTTCTGCATCTGAGCTATTTTGTGTATAAACATATTTTGCTTGACAGCCCAAGTGGAACTGCAACTGAAGCACTCAAATTTGGTTAACACCAAGCAAYAGTTTAGAATTGCTTGTGATTGCTATCTCTTCTACCACACAAACATTGTGA